AGTTATGGATTTATGTTCTTAAATTTGATGAACAATTTTTTTTGGAAGTAGAGTTATATTTTTTCTTAACCGTATAACTGGAAATTTTTTATAGCAAAAAAAAAAAATTATAAAAAAAATAAACGGGGCGGGGCGGGGCAAAGCGGGGGAGTGGCGGGACGGGGCGGGATAGGGGTGCCCCGCCCCGAACCTGCCCCGTTGCCATCCCTAGTGGGTGGTGGTCGGTAGGCTGTGGCGCTGGTGGGGGCGTGGGGCATTTTCTGCTGGAGAATGGAAAAGAAGAAATCCATGTGTTCGTGTTTTCCAGAAAATGATTTTGAGGAATATTTTTACAAAATGCCAAAAAGAACGCGTTTTCAAAAATTTTAAAATGGATTCTCAAAACACAAAATACAAAATGATTTCAAAACTTAAAACGTAAAACTGAAACACAAAGAGAACGGCACCTTAATGTTTTGTAAGGTTAGGAAAGTCAACTTGATTGCTAGGAATTGATGCCCGGCCGAAAAGATGAGTCCACGTGTAAATTGATCGAAATGTCATTGTTTCATTTATAACACTATAAATATCCCCACCATGTAACACAATAAAGGTAATGAAAAATTCCAAATACTTGAAGCAATGTCATCCTCCACTCTCTTATTGGAACAGCGAATTTCAACCATAAATCTTATTTTTTATCGATTGGTTTCTTATACAATCGTGTTACATCTATCTTACCTGAAGTCCGAACGAAAATGTCTCGTGTCTTTGAACTACTCCCACGTTCAGTTTCTGCAGTCATCTTGACCGCTGATCGGCATTGACGTGTTGGATCAAGCTTACGTATGTACGAGTGGGCCCAACATCTATTGGCAACATATTTTGGGGTCAATAGATTGGCGCTGTCGGTGGGAAACCACACTATAACCACGAGCAATCCTGTGGAAAAAGCTAGTTTGAGAAAATATTCTGGGGCATCCCCCTTGAAAAATGATTTGTTTTTACGAAAAGAACAAGAGGAAGCCCGCAGAATCAAAAAAATATTCAAGGTTTTGAGCTTGGGAAGATATGAGTTTAGAAGATGAAGCTCCCCCAGGCGAGCTAGGGAAACTGATAATGAGGCCCCAGCGGTCCGACGCCGACCCGATCACCACCATAGAAGATGTGGTAGGAGGTTGGCGGCCCAGTTTACCAGAGAAATGGCGACTATAGCAGCCAACATGAGGAATAGCACCAACTAAAACTTGGCAATGCAAGAATTGCTGATGCAGATGCAAGGCCAGGGAGGTCGCCCAATTCCTCCTTATGTACCCCAGGAGCAGTATCAACCTGAAGAGGTACAAAGTCAAATAGCTCACCCTCCTAGACATAACAGGGGAGGAAGTCTTATTGAAAAAGAAGTGGGAGTTGACATTTCCTCCAACTATGCCTCTGGTCGACCCATTGATGCTCCGTTAAACATGAAGGATAATTTTCCTCCAGAGTATAAGCCAGAACTGAGGCCCCAGAGGTCTGTTAGTGTATTTGACTGATTAAGTACAACGCCTAGGAACAGGCCACAACCCCCACCCTTTGGAAAATTGGCAATCGAAGGAAAGACAAGAACATGCTCCTCGAGTTGTACTGCCTTGGCGTGAGCGCCAAAGGAGGGAGGAGAAGGCGGCAATCAAGCAGGACCCTCTGAAGCTAATTATGATTCAGATGGTCCACAAATATCATGTGATTTGGATGACGAAGATGACAACCTGCTGTTTTCACGAGAGCTAAGAAATGCCCAGGTTCCAAACCATTATGTAATGCCCAAAATACCAAAATATGATGGGAGAGGCGACCCAGCGAAGCATTTGAACAACTACAAAACACATATAAGTCTGGGAGACGCCACCCTAGCTGTGAATTGCAGGGCATTTCATTTAACACTTAGTGGAGTAGCTGAAATATGGTATAGCAGGCTACCGCCTGGGAGTATTTGTAGCTGGCCAGAGTTCAAAACCACCTTTTTGAAGAGATTCGCTGTGAGCAAGGAGGGAGAGGCCCCCTATTCAGCGTCTCCAGGATATAAGGTAACAACTTGATGAAACCCTGAAGAGTTTCTTATCCCGCTTCACAGACGAAATGACATGTTGTGTTCAAGTTACGGATTGTGAAGCCCTATTTGCTTTGAGAGGAGGCTTGAACATAAACACATTATTTTGGAGAGATGTACAAAATCAGGATCCAACTACTTATGATGCACTATTAGAGATGACGCGATGGGAAATCATCAATGAAGAGTTGATAGACCACATGAATAGGGCAAATAGAGGCCTCCAGCCTCAGCAAAGGCAACGTGGTAAAGGTCCAATCTCCTACCTGATAGACTAGCAATGGAACCAGCCTAATGCTGAAATTGGCCAAAGTTCAGGCTAAGCACTTGCCGTAGCCACATTGATCACCGTACCAACGCTGGCTTATGAGAATATACCAGCCACCAACACTCAACCAAATCAGTTGACGCATCAGGCCCCCCGTAGAGGACGAGGACGAGGCCGCGGAAGAGGTTCAAGCCAAGGCAGAACTAATTCCCAAGGGTACTGCACTTATCATCATTCTTATAGCCATGATACAGCGGACTGTAGGGATATAGCCCAACATTCTAGAAGTTCAAATTTTAGAAGTAACAACTAGGATACTTCTAGACCAAGAAGTAGGGCCCCGCCTAGGCGAGAGCAGCAACCTAGGAGAGATGAGGCCCCTTCCCATCATAGGGAGGTATTTCCTTGCTGGGGAGAACATGAAAGGCATAGGAACCGAGATGAGCATCAATGAAGAAGCCATCGAAGCAGACCGGAGGATGCCCCAATTCATGAGATTGATACAATTTTCGGAGGCCCCTATGTTGGTGGAGAAACTAGAAACTCTCAAAGAAATTATGTTCGAGAAGCGAGGGGTCCTCCATTAACTAGCTACATTGTGGACAACAACTCTCGAAGGAACCAATCACCTCCTATCGTGTTTACTCATGAAGATTTTGAAGGTGTTCACTTCCTCCATTGTGACTCTATGGTGGTAAGGGCTGTGATAGATAGAAATGGACTAAAACGAATGCTGGTCGACAACAGCAGTTCGGTGAACATACTGTTCCGGTCCGCTTTTGATAAAATGATCTTAGACCATGAGCTAACCCCCACCAACACACCTTTGTACGTTTCACCGGGTATAGGATCATTCCGAGGGAAAAGATCACCCTTGCTGTGGAAATGGGAGAACCTCCCCTATCAACAATGAATTTCATGGAATTCCTGATAGTGGACAGCAGATCAGCTTACCATGGGGTGTTGGGGAGGCCGGCGTTAAAGGACCTAGGAGCTGTCACCTCCATTCACCACCTGTACATGAAGTTCCTAACTGATCAAGGAGTGGCAACGGTAAAGGGAGATCAAAGAGAAGCCAGGGAGTGCTGCCTTAATTTTGTAAGGAAAGTTGAATCGAGGGACATGAACATGGTGATTAGTATTAATGGCCCTGAGGTGCCCACATTTGACTAACTCGACCCCCGAGTAATTGAAACCGACTCCCAGGCAGCTCCTATGAAGGAACTAGAAAATTTTCCCATCGATCCATTGAATCCCACCAAACTACTGCAAGTTGGTCAAAGCCTTGCCCTGAGGCTCAAAGAGGAACTGAAAGAGTTTTTGCGCAGGA